GTAGCAATGCCAAGTCCCTTTTATCTTTGTATTAAACCACATAACTCGTTCATCTTCGTGTTTAATTTAATTAAATCACTCAACAATCAAAATCCCCCCCTTTATTAATTAGTTTATAAAAAGAGAAGTGTTTCTTTCCCTGTGGATACGAACTCTACTTCACTATACTACGTATAAGTGTTGTACTGAATTTACTTTGAGTGCACTCACGACAAAGTGCACGTCAAATTTGGCGCCGTTGCCGGGGAAAGGCAATTATTTTTCTTTTTATTTTATTTTAAAAAAAAAAAAAAAAATATATATATAATTGAAGTATAAAGACTTCTATTTCTTCTGAGCTTTGTTTGAGTATATGGTAAGAACCCGATCTATAAACGAAATCATCTACCAAACAACCCCCCAAACGGAACAAGCCTTCGAAAGGTTTAGGAATTTATTTCCGAATACTTCTTCGGAGGAATCATCAAGTGCTAGTTCTCAATCTAGCGAGACCGAAGAGCCAATCACTATGGCTCTTGAGACAAGGACTTTGAGGGAGCTCACAGCTCCGAATCTTAATCAACAACCCCTATGTATCACTTTTCCAACTCTTGATACGGGGGTCACATTTGAGCTAAAATCTGGGCTCATTCATCTACTCCCATCCTTCCATGGCTTACGAGGGGAGGATCCGAACAAACACTTGTCGGAGTTCCATATTGTGTGCACAAGCATGTGCCCCAATGGTGTCTCCGAGGAGCAGATCAAACTGAGAGCCTTCCCATTTTCCTTGAAGGACACCGCGAAGGACTGGCTATTCTATCTTCCTTCAGGAAGTATCACTACATGGCCACAAATGAAGAAGGCCTTTCTTGACAGGTACTACCCCGCTTCTATTTCATCATCACTCAAGAAGCAAATAAGCAACATCGAACAAAAAGATGATGAATCCCTATATGAATATTGGGAGAGATTCAAGAAGCTATGTGCAAGTTGCCCCTATCACGGATACACCGAACAAGACCTCATCCTCTACTTCTATGATGGTCTTGTGGATCAAGATCGCCGCATGGTGAATGCGGCGTGTGGAGGGGGCATTGTCAACAAAACCCCTTCACAAGCAAGAGATCTCATCTCGGAGTTGGCCGAGAACTCCAGACACTATAACGGGCGGTCCTCAACTCGGAGAGTTATGGCGGCAGAATCCAACAACGCGTTGGAAAGTCAAGTGAACGGCTTGGCAAGTCAAGTGACCGGCTTGACTTCTTTGGTTAAGGATTTCCTTTTAAAATCCAAGACCCAAGAAGTCAAGGTCTGCGGTATCTGTACACAACACGGGCATCCCACGGACTCATGCCCGACTCTTCAAGAAGACGCCACAGAGCATGTCAACGCTTTGGGTTTCCAAAGCCACCAACAAAGGAGATACGACCCGTTCTCAAATTCTTACAATCCCGGATTGAGGGATCACCCCAACTTGAGGTATGGAAACCCTCAACAAGCCAACCCACCTTCTCAATCAAGTATGTCTACGGAAGACATGATTCGAACTCTTGCTACTACCATGGGCACCTTACAACAAAACGTGGTGCAATTTCAACAAGAAACAAAGTCAAGCATTCAAAATTTGGAAACTCAAGTTAGCCAAATTTCGAATGCTGTAAATCGACTTGAAGCAAGAGATTCGGGTAGGCTTCCCTCCCAAACTGAACAGAACCCAAGGCAACAAGTCAATGCCATCATGCTAAGGAGTAGCCCGGAATTGCAAACAAAGGAAGCTGAAAAAGAGGAGATTGACCACAAGGAGGAGGAGCCAACGAAGAGAAAATTTCCTCCACTATCATCATATGAACCAATCCCTCCATTCCCTGAGGCGTTGAAAGATACAAGGAAGCTAGAGAGTGATCGGGACATCTATAAGACCTTCGCCGATTGTGAGGTAAATACCCCACTCTTTAAACTAACCCAAAGTGTTCCCCGTTATGCAAAGTTCTTAAAAGAACTATGTATAATGAAGAGAAAAGATAAATTAAAGGGGAAACAAAAGGTTAAAGTTAGTGAACAGGTCTCGACCATCTTTCAAGAAAAATTTCCAAAAAAATGTGGTGACCCGGGCATGTTCACTATTCCTTGCACGATAGGAAACACCACATTTCCTAAGGCCTTACTAGATTTGGGGGCATCTATAAACGTCATTTCTTATTCCGTTTATAAAACCCTACAACTTGGCCCACTACATCAAACCGGTGTAATGATTCAACTAGCAGATCAGTCTAGTACCTACCCGAAGGGTGTATTAGAAGATGTGCTAGTAGAAGTAGGGAATATGGTCTTTCCCGTCGACTTCTACGTCCTCGAAATGGGGAATGATGACCAAACAGCGCCCATCCTTTTGGGAAGACCCTTCTTAAAGACCGCAAAAACAAAAATCGACGTGTCTAGTGGTTCATTAACTTTAGAGTTCAATGACCAAAAAGTAGAGTTCAATATCTTTGACTCTACGAAAAAACAAATTAAAGATCAATCTCTTTGTTCTTTAAATGTTTTTGAACCACCAACGCCAAATGCTTTAATTGAGTCGAGAACAAAGAAGAAGGGTCGGCCTTACTGGAAAAGGCTTAAGAAAATAAATGAAGGAAGGGATGCTCACGATCCCACATAAAATAAAAATAAAAATAAATAAAACATCGTGCCACGACGTTAAATAAGGCGCTTCTTGGGAGGCAACCCAAGTCAATTAGTTAGATTTTATTTCCTTTTTGTGTAATTTGAGAGAAAAGAGAGAGAGGGAACTAATCACATGTTTGTTTTGAAGAAGAAGAAAATGCAGATTTTGAAGTGTCTGGGGACATACTCGATCGAGTACCATCTCATACTCGGTCGGGTATTGTCTAAAAAGAGGAACCGAAGGCACCACTCGATCGAAGTAGCCATATATTTCTAAAAATGGAGGCATACTCGATCGGGTATATCTCTTTACCCGGTCGAGTATGAACTGAAATAAGAAGAAAGAAAAAAATCTGTCTCCGGTACTCGATCGAGTACAGGTTAATACTCGGTCGAGTATGAACTGAAATAAGAAGAAGGAAAAATCTGTCTCCAGTACTCGATCGAGTACAAAATCATACTCGGTCGAGTATAACGGGAAAAAGAACTTTATTTCATCCCTGCCTCCAATACTCGATCGAGTACAGGTTAATACTCGGTCGAGTATGCTCAGAAAAGCCAGTTTCCCAGCCCCTGTCTCCTGTACCCGATCGGGTATACAGGGATACTCGATCGGGTACCCCTGCGGATATAACACCAAATTAACCCCCAAAACACTTCATCTTCCCCAAACTCTCCCCAATTTCGAACAACCCTTCCCCAAACTCCATTTTTAACCCTTCTCTCTACCATATCTCTCTCCATTCTCCACCAAATCAACCCATTCCTCCACCAAAATACTCCCCTCACTCTCCTCTCCATATCTATACCCATAAATCCCATCTTCCCCAAACTTCCACCAAATCCCTAAAAAACCCTACCTCATTCAAATTTGAACTCCAAAGCTTCACAAATGGCTCCAAGGAAGCAAAGGGGAGAAAGTTCAAACTCCATGGCACCTATTCCCGGCTTTGAGGACATCATTCCCGCCGACGCCGAACACCGGGCTCGACTCCTCACAACCATAAAAAGGAAGGTAAAACCTTCTCGTTTTCTATGTCACGATGCTCTACGTGAATTAGGAGTGTATAAAATGATGAAGAAATTCTTTCATGAGTTGAATATGGACCTTGTTTTCAAAATGAAATACAACTCAAATGAAAGAATTATTTATGAATTTATGAGCTCGGTGCACTTTGAGAGCAATGAGGAGGATTTTAGGGATGATAGACTCGAGTTTCGTCTTTTTAACCGAAACTATTCAATAACGAAGCTCGAGTTTGCTGAACATTTTGACATCCCGGTGCCCTACGAAAGATCCATTTCGGATACCACCATTTTTGGGCACTCCCTATGGACAAAGATGACCGGGGAAGTAAACTTTAACTCCTCCCAAATGTATATTAGTCATGTCCAACACCCCGTCCTCCGGCTATTCTTGAAATTTTTAGCAAATTGTTTGCTTGGACGCCCCAACAACCACCACACGAGGATTGGGGACGTATGTTTGATCTCAGTAGCACTTTTCCGGCGTCACGTAGACTTCAATCTATGTAATCTCATTTGGGCACATCTAAAAAAGGAAAGCATGGCCAAAGGTGCCATTGTCATGGGTGGGGTAATTATGCACTTGGCAAGCAAGTTCGGGTATACGGATAACTCTCCTATACCCGACTATTGTTTGATGGACATAGGTTGGTTAGGCCGCTCGGGATGCACCTCTTTTTCCCATACGGTATATATTGGGGACCAACCGAAGAACATGTATAATTGGATCATACACACCCAACCGGTCCAATATTTCCTAATGCCAAGCCCGGACACCCCCAAACTACGCTACAAACCGGAGTTCGAGGAACCTCACTACTTATTCCCTCACGCCCTTCCACCACATCTCCAAGAACCCGACGCCCAAAACCCCCCCGAAGATCAACACGACCAAGAGCAACAAGAGCACCAAGAACCCGAGGATGCACCTCACCCGATGCTCGAATACAACCAAGCCCCACCACCCACCGATTACTTCCAAAAATTACTTGACGGGTTCGAGAGAGTTACCAATGAAGTTGGTAAGTATCGGGAAGAACAGATGGCGGGATTTCAAAGAATAGAAGAGCAAAGGGCCGCAGACAACCGACGGTATGAAGAGGATCAACGTAGGTTCTATGGACCTATGTACTCTTACATGGCTCATCAAGGCCAATTCCACACCATGGCTCAACCACCACCACCCCCCTCTTGGTATGACCCCACTCAATGGGGTAATTTTGGAGGATCTAGCTCCGGGGGTGGAGGTTTTGATGGTGGGGACGGCGGGGACACTCACATGGGAGACGGGAACTTTGGAGGAGGCTTCGGAAGCGGCTTTGGAGGCAGTTACTACGGTGGAGAAGGCGGGCACTAGGGACAGTGCTTCAACTAAGTGTGGGGGAGGAGATTACTCATGGTATGTAATTTCATTTTCTACCTTTTACTATGCATGAAGTTCTTTTACTCTTTGTAAACAAAAAAAAAAAAAAAAAAAAAAGAATAAATAAAAGAATTGAAATGCTAGTTAGGTTGAAAACCCAAGAATGGGCAATCTAAGCAAAAATGGCTTATAAAAAAAAATAAATGAGTGAGTTTGGAAAGGATGGAAAAACAAAAAGAGATGCTAGGATGAAAACCTGAAAAGGCTCCTAGGCAAAATGAGAGATATGAGAGAAAAACCTTTTTCTGTGTGCAGGAACTCATTTGATCTCTAAGAGGAGAAAAAGAGAAGAAAAGGAAGAAGAGACAAGAAGATGGAGCATAGAAGATCATAAAACCCAAGAGAGAATGTTGTTTGTGAAAATCATTTTTATTCCTTGGTGATCTTTGTTCCTTTCTTTCTTGAACTCATGGAATGATCTTAAACTGTTTGAAACATTTGACTTTACTCGAGGACGAGTAAAGAACTAAGTGTGGGGGAGTTGATACGTTTGTAATTTCCGTATGTTTATTTACGTTTTTAGTTAGTTTTGATTGTTTAATATCTCGGAAATTACACACTTTCGGTGTAATAGTTTAGTTTGTTAAATTCTTGTAATTTGTTTAGATTAGGTTTATTCTGAGCTTAAACAGGTCCAAGATCAATCAAATGATCAATGGTGAAGGAAGGTGCAAGATTACAAGACAAAAAGAAGGAAAAATCCTGATTTTGGTCTATACTCGGTCGAGTATACACATATACTCGATCGGGTATCTGGTTGACATTTCAAATCGGATCGGATCCGAAAACAAAGGAACATGCAGGAGAAGATTTTCCACGTTCGAGTGTCTATACCCGATCGGGTATACTTATGTACTCGATCGGGTATAGCTATAAAAACTACCCGAGTATTGATCGAGTATGGAACGAATTCGATGTTCTACACATACTCGATCGAGTATGTATATATACTCGATCGAGTACTCGACCTGCACCTCAAAAAGCCTATAAATACACCTCCTTTCCTTCACTTTTAGATCACCAATTCCCATACACTCTTAAGCTCAGTTTAGAATAACATTTCTTTATATTTCTTTTAGCATGTTTAGTCTCCAAATGAGGAGCTAAACTTCCATTTCTTGGTATTGCTCTTGAAGCTTGTTGATTATCAAAGTTGTGGGTTATTTTCTTAATTTCTTTCCTTGAATATTAATTCTTTCTTCAAATGCTATTTCTATATCAATGTTGGGGAGTGTTGCTAAGATGACAATTAGTTAACATCTTGACATTAGTTATAGTAATAGTCATTTCTTCCTCTATGTTAATATTGGGGAGTGTTACTAAGATGACAATTAGTTAACATCTTAATATTAATTATAGTAGGATTCATCTTCTTTAATATTCTTCCTTGAGTATCAATTGATTCCTATTCATATTTCATATTAATATTTTGAACATTACTTAAAGGATCAACTAGTTTTGTTTCATATATTAATTACTACTAGAAACGATCAACGAACCAATGGTTAATCGTTGATAGTTTCACAAGTAAGTAACTTCGGTCTATTAATGCACGGTCGTGGTTAATAGACTTAAGAGGGATTAATTGTGTTGGTTAAACCGAAACCGCTTGTGTTGAGGTTATCGATCTCAATTGATTTCATCAAGGAGTTAAGCGATTACATGCTACTATCAAGTCAGTATACGGCGCTTGTTCTATACTTGGCTAATAGTAAGGGTTATTAATGAACGGTCGTTGTTAATAACTATCCTCGATGAATTGGATATACTCCTCGATTGAGTATTCGAGAGGAGATAAGTTATAGATATAACAATGATCGACTAAAATATATCAACAAGTGGAAAGTAGCAATGCCAAGTCCCTTTTATCTTTGTATTAAACCACATAACTCGTTCATCTTCGTGTTTAATTTAATTAAATCACTCAACAATCAAAATCCCCCCCTTTATTAATTAGTTTATAAAAAGAGAAGTGTTTCTTTCCCTGTGGATACGAACTCTACTTCACTATACTACGTATAAGTGTTGTACTGAATTTACTTTGAGTGCACTCACGACAAAGTGCACGTCACCTTCGGTGGCAATGGAGGTAGTTACCGGAGGGTCCGCTTTATTGTACTTAGGATATTTGCATGTTCTTATTTCTCTTCCCCCGTCTTTTGAACCCCTTGGTCTGACCTCGCTGTTTGTTTTGCAGGTGTTAGCATGGACGTCTCCAGCTTTGCTGCTCTGAAGAAGAAGCTGGCCAAGGAGCCAAAAAAGAAGAAGGAGACGGGGGTTCAAAAACCTGTCGATGAATTCTTCAAGAACGATGGGGCGTCTCAGGCCCCGGAGGGGGAGGGACCCTCCAAAGCAGGTGATACCGGTGCTGGTGCCGGGGGCTCTAAGGGGGAGGAGCTCAAGAGAAAGAATTCCGGGAAGGGTGTTGCTCCCTCGGAGAATAAGAAGCAGAAGAAGGGGGCCTCCGGGAAGAAGGATGCTCCCATAGTGATAGTCGAGGAGCAGCCTTCCTCGAATCCTCCTGCGACTACCCCTCCTCGATCTCCTCCATCCCCCATAGACGAGGGAATCCGCCCGGCGGAGATCATCCAGTTCCCTGTCAAGTCGGGGACCTCAGTTATGCATGGCACCCTTCATCCTGTCGGCTTCATGAGGGGGGGTCATGGCGCCGAAGGATAGGTCAGTGCTGGCCCGCCTCGGGGATGACATCCTCGATTATAAAGTCGCGAGCTACAGCACTATGGTGAGTTGTCTTCCCTTTTTATCTCCTTCAATTCTTTCTTTTTTTACGATAGCCCCCGGTGAACCATTCTGATGCCATATTTTCGTTTATGTGCGTTTATGTGCAGGCTGCCTTGGCTGCTTCTGAGCAGGCCCGAAGGGTTGAGCAGCTGAGGATTGCCAAGTGCCAGGCGGACGAGGCCCTGAAGAAAGCTGATGAGGAGAAGGTCACCCTTAGGCAGAGGGTTGCTGATGTGGAGGCGAGCCTTCGGCTGGAGAAGGAGGCCACGGAGCAAAGGCTCAAAGATGCTGAGGCCAGGGGGAAAGCCGCAGCCGAGGAAATTGCCGCAGTTGCCGCCAAGACCGCCGCCGAGGCCGCCGATATCGCTAAGGCCGAAGCGGTAGCTAAAGCTGAGAAGAAGGCCGTCGAGTCTTTTCTTGCCGAGGGCTGGATGGCAGCTGATTACGAGGGTTGGGTGGCCTCGGTGATGGAGAAGAGGGTGGATGCTTGGACCCAAGGCCCCGGGGCTATGTGGCTGGCCCGGAAAGGCAAGGATTACTACGATGGCGGGGAGTTCTTCACTCAACGCTTAGTGTACCGGAGGCTGGCCCGGCATTTGAAGATAGAGCCAAAGGATTTCAACCCCGCGGCGTATGGTCTCCCCCTCCTTCAGCCAGACGTTAGAGTGCCACTTCCCCCGGGCGAAGAGAGACCAGATCTCGAAGACTCGGAGCTGCTGGCAGAAGCCGAGGATGCCGAGGAGGAGGTTGGGGATGGCGCTACCTCCGAGCCGAAAGTTGATGCGGCCCAAGGAACTCAGACTTAGAAATTTTTTGATGCATCATTTTGTAATAGCTTGTAGCTTCCGGCTTCTGCCATGTAACGTAAACCAAACATCTTGTTGTTACTTTGAATTTTCTGCTAATGAATGAATGATCGCCTTCGGGCCTTTTCTGAGTGGATGCCTCCTGTCTTCGAATTTTTTTTTTATGGATGTATGCCTTTCTTTACTTGGGCGAATGTATGTTTTCCTCTCTTTGTCTGGTTTCCCGAAGGTCACGAGTTTGTGGACTTAGAAAAATTTTCTGAGTGTCGCTCCTTGCTAGCCCTCGACTGTAGTGTAGTATCACGAGCCATCAGTTGTGTATTTGGGGTTGCCGGGGGGCTTGTCGTTGTGGACTTAGAAACTTTTCTAAGCAAAACTTTTGTCAAAAACCCTTCGGATGTAGCGCGTAACCTCAGAAAATAATCTAAGTGAAACTCCATTGGCAGCCTTTGATAAAGAATCCTTGTAGTTGCTTCCGGGGTGAAGTTTTAGGACCGAGGGCTAAAATGAATTAGACTCAGGAAAGTCTCCCAGTGAAATTGTATCTTATGTCCCCGGAAATGTTGAGCCTTCGTTTAGTAGTGTAGCTTTAGGTCCTTGCCAAGTGGCTTCGGGGGGCATCGGCTGTAAGCCCGTTTCTAGACGGCATCCCAGTTTCCACAAAGCTTCAATAGGTGCTGTAGTGAACCTTCGAGCGTGAGAATTGTTTGAGCCCCCGTGTATAGCCGAGGGGTTCAAGATTGTGGACTTAGTGAAATTCCGAGATTTGCCTCCACTAGATCTCGTGAGTAGCCTTCGGTTGATGGGTGTTCTCCGAAGTGTTTCCAATCGCGGACTTAGGAAATTTTCCACTATCGAGTGAGTCTGGTAGCAATCCGCCTTCGGCATGAAGCTTTCGGTTTCTGTAGATATAGATTTAGTTTGCCTTAGAACTTTGTACAGCCTTCGACATGAAGCATAGTTGACCTGCTTTCTCCCATATAGACTTGGCCAATTTTTGGTGAAATTTTTGCTGGTGAGCCTTCATCTTGAGTCCCCGGGGGAACTCTTGCACTTCAAGGCCTAATGTAGCGAATCCCTCGGCTATGTAGCCAGATGATTTGTTGTTGAGATATTTTCTTGCGCCTTTGTAGGAGCCTTCGGGAATATATATCCGAAGTGTTGAGCCTCCGGGGAGAATAGTATCCGGGGAGTTCCTTCCCCCCTACACATCTTTTTTTTTTTTTTTTTTTTTTTTTTTTTCAGATGGTGTAGGAGAGGCATCTAGAAACTTGGTTTCTAGGAAAGGCTTGGCCTATATGGGAGGCAACAGAATAAACCGTTGGCTCCCCCTTCGGGAATGACCTTCCGATATCCCGAAGGGTTTGAGGGTCGTTTCCTCGGCCCGAGACATCGTCTGTTGCCTGCTTCCCCTTGGGGGATAGCACGGAAAGCGCCTCGGTTTTGAAAGTCGTCCCCTCAGCCCGAGACATGGTCTGTTGCCTGCTTCCCCTTGGGGGATAGCGCGGGGAGCGTTTCGTTTGTGGAAGTCGAATCCTGGGCCCGGGACATGGTCCGTTGCCTGCCTCCCCTTGGGGGATGGCGCGGAAAGCGTTCCTGGGAAGGGTTTTTATTTGTGTGTGGGACACAAATAGCCGGGGGCACTTGGTACCAGCCGGAGCCGAGGGGCGTTGCACCCCCCATTTTTTTTTTTTTTTTTTTTTTTTTTTTTTTGAGTATGTAAAAGTATGCATAATGTATGCATGACTGCGTCCTCGTGGGGTACGGCTTAGTGAGAAAACACTTGGTGTTCTCAAAGGGTGGTGGGGGTGACTCATATACTTGGTACTTGGTACCTAAATTGTTGCTCCCCCTCATAAGAGGGAGTGGCCTTGGGCCTTTCATGGTGAAGAGATGAGGGCTTGGCCACTCATTTGTAGGAGAGAAGGGGGCCTTGGGCCGCTTGTACGGTATGTAGGTGATGAAGGCTTGGCCTTTTGATTATTCTTGAAAAACAGATGGGGCCTTGGACCCTTGATCATTTACACTTGTTGAGGATGAGGGCTTGGCCGCTCATTGATAAAACTTAACCAGGTGGTGCACATTCCAATGTCTAGGGACCTCTGTCCCGTTAGGGCGTTTTAGTTTGTATGTTCCTGGTTTGATGATGGCTGAGATGATGTAGGGGCCTTCAAACTTGGGCGCCATCTTTCCTCCTTCGGTGGGTAGACTGGCCTCCCTCCGTCGGAGGACGTAGTCTCCCACCTGGAATTCCCGGGAGCGGACCTTGGCGTCGATGTAGCCTTTGACTTGTCTCCTATAGTTTTCGGCCCTGAGGAAAGCTTGCTCTCGGCGTTCCGAGATGAGATGAAGGTCGAGGGCCATGTTGGCTTCGTTGACCTCGGGCTCATATTGTTCCACCCTTCGGGTAGGAAGGGTCACTTCAGTTGGAGCCTTAGCCTCAAAGCCATAGCATAGGGAGAAGGGTGTTTCGCCTGTTGCACGCCGAGGGGTGGTACGGTAGGCCCATAAGATGTTGTGTAGCTCTTCTACCCAGCCTCCCCCTTCGGCTTCCAGCTTCTTCTTCAACCCCTCGAGGAGGGTGCGGTTGGCATTTTCTACTTGTCCGTTGCCCTGAGGGTAGGCAACGGAGGAGAATGTGTGCTTGATGCCCCAAGCCTCAAGGAGGGCACAGAAGGGGGCTGCCTCGAATTGAGCCCCGTTGTCGGAGATGATTTGTTGGGGGACGCCAAACCTTGTGAGAATATTTTTGAGGACAAAGTGGCGGCACCGGGCCTCAGTAATGCTGGCGAGGGGCTCGGCTTCTACCCATTTGGTGAAGTAGTCAATGGCCACGATGATGTACCTGTTGTTGGAGGTACCCCTCGGCAGAGGACCCACCAGGTCGATACCCCATCGGGAGAAGGGTATGGCGGTGCTGATGGGGGCGTAGTTGACCGCGGGCCTGCCTGGGGCCTTCTGAAAGTGTTGGCAAGCGGTGCACCTTCGGGCTAGATCAGCACAATCTTTAGCCATCGTGGGCCAGAAGTAGCCTTGAACTATGAGCCTTCGGGACATGGAGAAGGGTCCCTGGTGGGCCGAGCAAGTGCCACTGTGCACTTCCTCCATAGCGACTTCGGCTTCATCTTGATGAAGGCACCTAAGGAGGGTGCCGTTGTAAGATCTTTTGTAAAGCCTCCCATTCTCGAGGGTGTAGCTGGGAGCCCTCAGCTTCGTTAACTTGGCGCGGGCTTCGTCCTGGGGCAGTTGCCCTGTGGTAATGAAGGCGATGATGTCGGAGATCCAATCCTCCGGCCTCAGGTTAATGTTCATGACGGGGCTCGCGTGGATGCTTGAGAGGCTGAGTTCCTCAATTCTTGCAATTTTGGAGAGGTGCTCGGGGGTTTCATCCGAGAGCTTTGATAGAATATCGGCCTCGGAGTTTTGAGCCCTCGGTATTTGGGTGAGGGAATGTGCCTCAAATACCTTGAGCAACTCCTTAGCCGCTTCTTTGTATTGTTTCATCCTCCCTTCCTTGGCTTCGTATTCCCCGGAGATTTGACCCACGACAAGTTTCGAGTCACACTTAACGTGGACCATCTTGGCCTTTAGATTTGCTGCCAGCCGAAGGCCACAGAGCAGGGCCTCATATTCGGCTTCGTTGTTGGAGACTTTGAAGGAGAATCGGATGGCGTAATAGGCGCGGAAGCCCTCGGGTGTGATGAGAACTACTCCCCCTCCGCATGCTTTGGTAGCCGAGGAGCCATCGGTATAGAGGGTCCACCACTCATCGAGGGGTACCGAAGGCTCCTCATCCACCGCTGATCTTGCGGTGCATTCCGTTACGAAGTCTGCCAGGGCTTGGCCCTTGATGGCAGGCCTCGGACGGATATCTTTGTTGTATTGGCTGAGGAAGATGGCCCATTTCACCATCCGAGAGGAGCTAGTGGGACTCCTCATGAGGGCGCCGAGGGGTTGATGAGTGAGCACTTGGACCGGATGAGCTTGAAAGTAGTGGCCAAGCTTCTTGACGGTCCAAACGATGGCTAGCACCGTCTTCTCGACGGGAGAATACCTAAGTTCGGCCTCCCGGAGGGTTTTGCTGACGTAGAAGATGGCGTGTTGGACGCCGTCTTCCTCTCGGATTAGTACTGAGCTGATTGCCGCAGGGCTAACACCGAGGTACAAGTATAAGGTCTCCCCCACCTTCGGTTTGGAGAGCACCGGGGGAGAAGAGAGGTACTTCTTAAGTTCGTCGAAGGCCTCTTGACACTCAGATGTCCATTGGAAGCCAGCTGTCTTCCTCATGATTTGGAAGAATGGGAGGGCCCTCTCGGCTGACTTAGAGAGGAATCGGTTGAGGGCCGCCAGGCGACCCGTCAACCGCTGAACTTCTTTGACGTTGCGCGGAGGCTCCATATTGATGATGGCCTGAATTTTCTCGGGGTTGGCCTCGATACCCCTTCGGCTTACCATATAGCCCAAGAACTTTCCACCTTGTACGCCGAAGGTGCATTTCTTTGGATTCAATCGGAGGTTGAATTTTTGCATGATGGCGAAGATTTCCTGGAGGTCCTCGGCGTGAGTGCCGGCCTTCTTGCTCTTGACAATCATATCGTCAACATAGGCCTCCATAGTGCGCCCCAAGACAGCTTGAAAGACCCTGGCCACCATTCGGGTGTAGGTGGCGCCTGAATTCTTGAGGCCGAAGGCCATCACGAGGTAGCAGAAGATGCCTTCGGGTGTCATGAAGGCAGTTTTTTCAGCGTCTTCTTCATGCATATAGATTTGATGATACCCGCGGAATGCGTCGAGGAAGGACATGATTTCGCATCCCGCGGTCTCATCCACCAGTTGATCAATGTTTGGCAGAGGGAAGGGGTCCATAGGGCACGCCTTATTCAGATAAGTGTAGTCCACGCACATGCGGAAGGTAGGAGGCTTCTGTGCAAGGACTACATTTGCTAACCAAGAGGGGTATTTCACCTCCTTGATATGTTTGATGGAGAGGAGCATGGCTACCTCCTTCTTCACGAACTCCCTTCTCTCGGCCGAGAGGGGTCTTCTCCGCTGTTGTACTGGTTTGGCCGAAGGGTCCACCGCTAGGCGGTGGGTGATGACCCTTCGGTCAATTCCCGGCATATCCTCCGGCCCCCATGCAAAAACAATGGAGTAGGCGCGGAGGGCTTTGGTGATGCCAGCCTTCAAGTCTTCGGGGAGCTTGGCTCCAATCTTCAGGACTCTCTCCGGCTTGGCCGGATCGAGTATCAAGTCTTCGGTCTCCTCGGCAGGCTCAGCTCTCGGCCTGCCTTCTTCTTCCTCCAAGGCCCTGGTGGTGATGGTGTCCACACGTAGTTCTGTTTTACTAACCTTCTTGGTAAGTTGAAGGTAGCAGGCCCTGGAGAGTTTTTGATTCCCCCTCGAGTAGCCGATGCCGGTGGGTGTGGGGAACTTGAGGCAGAGATGCCTCATAGAGATGACGGCTTCCAAATCCTCGAGGGCGGGCCGGCCGAGGATGATGTTGTGTGCGCAGTCGAGGTTGACGACGACGAATTCCACTTCGAGCTTGGCTCTATGGGATCCGTCGCCGAACTCAACCACGAGGGTGACGACGCCCTCGGCGTCTATGCTGTCCCCCGTAAATCCGGAGAGGGGGGTGTTGATGTGTCGGAGGGACCGCCTGTCGAGTCCCAACTCCTGAAAGGTGCTGAGGTACATGACGTTGACAGAACTCCCCGTGTCGACATAAGTCCGGTGGATGATGGCGTCATTGATCTCAGTGCGGATGACGAGGGCATCTCTATGCGGCAGAGAACCCGAGGGGAGGTCCGCATCTGTGAAGAAAATTGGATCCGCCTTCGGCCGTTTAGTAGGGGGCATGTGGTTGACCTCCCCAACGTAGAGGGACTGTGCCCACTTCTTCCTTTGGCTCGTAGAATCGCCTCCGGTGTTGCCACCGTTGATCATGTGAATGTGGCGCTTGTACTGTTGATGGGAGCCCTCTCCCTCGTCTTCGAGGCCGCCAATTTCACGCTTCTTCCCATGCGGGTTTCCCAAGGGAATGGTGTTGGGGTTCACCCACTTGTTTGCCTTCGGCGGAGGGCCTTGATGATGAGGGGGACCCTGGGGCGGAGGGCCCCTGATAAACTGGGACAAGTGGCCCGCCTGTATCAGCCTCTCGATGGCGTTCTTCAGCTGATGGCAGTCGTCGGTCTTGTGTCCATGGTGGCGGTGGAAGCGGCAATACGGCTCATCAGGGCCGATGGCATAGATCTCGAGGGGTGTGCGGGAGTCCCGCTCAACGAGCCCCCGCTCTTCCGCATGGTCAAGAATGACGCTGACGGGGTGCGTCAAGGGAGTGCGTGGGTGCTCCAGGAGGACGGGTTGTGCCCATGCCTTCGGATTGTTTTTGTAACCGCCCCCGGTTCTGGCTTGGCCACCTCGGGAGCGATCGTTGTACTGTGGCTCTCGGTTGGTCGGAGGGGGAGGCCCTCCGGGCCGATTCCTGCCTTCATTTTTCTGAGAGGGGTCCGCGTTGCGGCGGTCCTTCTCGATTTCCTCCGCTTCAGCGTATCGATCCCCCCGCTGAAGGGCCTTTGTATAATCGCGGGGGGGATCAGTGATAAGGCTCCGGGAGAAGTTACCATTGCGGAGGACGGTGTGGAAGAGGGCCATCAAGGTCCTGTCATCGGCGCCCTCGACCTCGAGGGAGGCCTGCCTCCAGCGTTCTAGGAAATTCCGAAGGGTTTCCTCCTTCTGTTGTCTCACATTCAGAAGGTGGGAGAAGTGTTTCTTTGAGCGGTGCCTCCCGGCAAACTGCGTAAGGAAGCGGTGGGCAAGTTCTTGCCAAGAATCAATGCTGCCTTCGGGCAACCGGTTGAACCACTCATACGCTGGTCCCTCCAAGGTGGAAAGGAACCAACGGCATAAGTATTCATCCGATGCCCCCATCATCATCATGCTGTTTTGATAACGGCTATAGTGCTCCTGGGGATCCGTCTTCCCCTCATATGGTTTGATAGGTTGCCCCCGATATTTGTGGGGGATTTTGGCCGCCAACACCCTTGGGGTGAAAGGCGTCCTAGTGCGGAGCTGAATGAGGGGCTCGCCTGAGCCTTCGGCAAGTTTACGTTTCATTTCCTCCACCTGTGCCCGGAGGTCAGCGTACTCCGGATCTGGCCTCGCTGTGGAAGCCGTCGGGGGTGCCTGTCGATTCTCCTCGAGTTGACGGAGGAGGGCTTCAATGATTTCGTCCTTGGGATCCTTCGGGGCAACCCCTTGGGAGTTGGCCCGGAAGGATTGCGCCTGGTTGATCTGGTGCCTGGCGTCATCGGCATGGAGGAGGGCTTTGCCTTTGCTCCGTGGGGGAGGCACGCCCTCGGCGCCCGAAGCAGAGGCTCCACTCTCCTGGAGCCTGCTGAATGCCTGTTTCCCGAGGCGGTCTTGGACCCCTCGGTGTCCGGGAGCCCCCCCAAGCCTCTCAAGTGCGGAGGTTCGGGGTTTCTCTTTCATCACGGGGCGCTTGTCCCTGGATTGGGCCTCTTGGGAGGCGGTATCCTGTGCCATGACCCCCTCGGCATTGCCAATCCCCGGGGGAGGACTGTTGAACAAAGGAGGGAGTGGTGGTAGTTGGATAACATTCCCTCCAGCGTGGGGCTGAAGGGGCGCCTGGGAGGCGAGGGCTCCGGAATTGAGAGCCATGTTTTGAACAAAGGCCGCAAAGGCAGCCTGAAGATCGATGGCCGGGGCCGGAGGGGGAACTTGGTTCTCACTCCGATCCCTCCTTCGATTATCAAGGCCAATGCGGGCATCGGGGGCGTTCTTCTGTAGTTGCTGACGGAGGTCAGCAGTAGCCTGCTCCAACTCGAGGATGATACCACCCTCGGGTACTAAGAGCCTGTTGGAGGCCTCAGCCCCGTTGGTTTCGCCGGGAGCTATGTGGTTCTCCTCAAGGGTTTTGGACTGGGCACGGGTGGTTCTTCCCATTTTTGGTAAGTATTTCGTGTTTGGTAGAGGGGGAGGGTTTCTTACTTGATAGTTCAGACCTCTCAACGAGAGCACCATATGATGGATAGCCTACCCGGGGGGTATCTTATCCGAAGGGTTATTGCGGAAATAACTAGAGAGAAGTCAGAGCAAATAGGAGGAGAGAGAGTCGATTTTATTAAATGAACTCGAGATGTGGAGCTGAGATGTAGATTGTGTTTTACAAGGAGAAATGGGCTGCTATTTATAGCAGCAATAAATGCGATGAGAGGACACGTGTCAGTAATCCAACGGCCGAAGGGTCACATCAGCCTGGTGGCACCGGCAGTGGTACGTCAACCGCATTGAATGCGGTTGGTGGATGCGACGTGGCATTAAATGCGGTGGTTGGCTGTCTCTAAAAGGAATCTTCGATGATTGAGCTTGTTCAGCCGGAGGCACCTTGTGTAGCCGAGGGCTCCTTGTGTAGCCGAAGGCTCCACGTAGCCACGGACCCCTGTGTAGCCGAAGGCCCCGAGTGGCAGAGGCTAAGTTCAGCCGAAGGCTTCCCTAATGCCGAGGGCTTGGTAATGCCGAAGGCTTATGTTTTTCGCCGTTTTCTCCCAGCAGCTTCGTATGTCGGAGAGGGCTACTTCGTGAGTTTCTGGAGCCTTCGGCCAAGGAGGCCGAAGGCACCCCCCAGTGTGTATTCTGGGCTCCTCTGAAGCTTGGGCCATTGTATTTGGGCCTGAGGTGCTTCCTGGGCTCAGCGGGCTTACGTAGGAGAAGTAGGAGTCTATGGGCCGGGGGTTCCTGGGCCATATACTCCATCAATACCCTTAGGAGGTTTTAGGGTAGAAAATTTAAGTTTAATTCTATTTGTAAATGATTTAGGGTTTTAATTACGGGTTTTTTACAAGAATATTACTAAAATAAAACATATTTTCATAAATATGATTATTCATTACTACAATATGGTGTTGTGGTAACTTAAGCTCAAAACTTAAACCTGAATTACTATGATTTCATTACTACTCTAGTCACTAATCATATTTTTGTAAATCATCTTTATTTTTGTAATTACTTGTATTTGTCATTTTAGGCAAGTTTTAATTATATTTTGGGATTAGTAATTTATACGTAGTAGTGTAGTACTAGGTATATACTACGTAGTTGTTTAAAAACGAAGGTACCAAAGGTCTAAAACACATCAAATTTTAGATTGCATATACCGAAACCTGGCGATCGCTGTGGAAGGACCCGCGGCCGCTGCGCAATCGGTTCTGAATCTATCTTCACTACTTGATCTTTGAAGCTTCGCAATTGAAACTGAAGGTTTGTATATCTTTTTTTCTTGAATCCACTAAGCCATCGAGATTCGAGGCTTGATAAATTTACACTCTTTGAAAGATTGGATTAAACTTATAATTGCTGCAGGGAACAAAGTTTTGGAGTCTAAAGATTCATTCTTTGATGGGTGGGATTAGTGTGATTTATGATTCCAGGTTTCGACAAAAGAAGTGTGCTGCTAAGAGAATTGACACTTATAATAAAAATTGTATAAATCGCCTTCCAGATGACATTCTCATTGTGATATTATCTTCCCTTCCGCTGAAGGAAGCTGCCCGCACGAGTGTTCTGTCAGTTCGCTGGAAGAACTTGTGGAAACAAACATCCTGCCTCAATTTTGATGCCAGCAGTACATTGGACAAGATTGCACAAGATAACAAGCTTCGCAGTGAGGAGAGGCACAAGTACGTGAGATGGGTGAACTCAGTCCTGAAATCTACACCCCGCAAAGGGGCGCTCTCCTTGGAACACTTCAGGGTCTGTTTTGATGTAGGAAAAGCATTCTCCGGGACCATTACGAAGTGGCTGAAATTTGCTTTTAAGAGGCGGGTTGAGAGATTGGAGTTGGACCTCCTGGAATATGGCGATTATGAATCATCGAAACCATATGTCTTCCCGGAAGACATTTTGTTTCTAAACATCCCTCAACAAACTACTACACTTTTCAACTTCAATTCCCTGAAAGCGCTGTGTTTGAAGAATGTTTCGATCAGTCAAGAAGCTATTGAGTTTTTCTTGCGCAGCTGCCCATCACTGGAGCAATTAGTTCTTCAATACATAGAGCACTTATCAAATCTTGAAGTTTGTGGTCCATCCCTTGCGTTGAAAAGTTTGGACACAAGGTATAGCTATGATTTGGGATCCATTAAGGTATCTGCACCAAAGCTTACTTCACTTGCAGTTTCGACACTAAAAGGACTCGTGCTCGAGAATGTTCCGATGCTTGTAGATTTAGATATTCTCTGCTGGAAAATTAAAACGCCATTAGAAGTTCCTACACTAAGGTGTTGCTTTTCTCAATTGGAGATTCTTACACTGCGGCTGCCAATGCATAAGCCACATGATATTCCGTGGTCCAACTTTCCTGAGATGCTTGAGTTGAAGAAGCTGACTTTGCATTTCGTAGCAAATCTTGATGAAAGTCTTCTTGGACTAACGACATTCATTAGGATATCTCCTTACCTAGAAGAATTTGTGTTCCTGATTAAATGGCCCGTGATAACTTCATGGGGTATCAGATATCTGAAGAAGGGGACACCATTTCTACACCAACACATTAAGGTGTTCAAGTATTTAGGCTATTATGGCCACTGCAGTGATTTGGAATTAGTGATGTTCATTTTGGAAAACTGTGTTGGGCTTCAAGAAATCACTATTGATCCAGCCATGCCGTCATCTTTTTTGCATGAGCCACGAGAGCCCGATGAGTTGGAATACGAACAAGTTGGCAGAAGTAATGCGAAGCAACAACTTGAACCAATAATCCCTCCTCACATTACATTTGCTATCCTATAGATTCTTGTTATTTTTTGAAAAATAACGATGCTGCTCTACACCACAGGTCACCAGCTACCTCGATTCTTCAGCTATTTCCCCTTAGCTAGTTAGCTTTATTTATTTGCTAATTCATTTATTGCGGATTTGTAGTTGGTGTTCACCAGTCTGTGTACTTTTTGAAATCCTCTATACTTAATAGCAATACAAATGATTTTTCTATGTTAGATTAAATGAGATTGAACACCCTCTATCACTGTTCAAATAAAACTCTCTTTTTCTTTCTCACCTCTCTTCTCAGTCGGCACTTCCTCGCCCTCGGGAGGAAGTACTCGGGATTCCTCACTGTATTCTCTTTTCTTTCTTACTCCGGATTTTAGTTCACCGGCCGCGTAAAAATTTGTTTCTTAAAACTTTTGATGGCATTTCATATCGGATTGAGCATCTGCTTGAAATACAGTAATGTTGTAGCTTTTCCTCCATTCAGGGTTTTTCTGCAGGTCTTATGCTGAACATATCATTCTTTGACTTGGCTCATAATGCATTGAACTCCATTGGGTTCTTGGGAAACTTTGAGTGAGCTATCAGCCTATTACGTTATGTACCTTTTACCAATTGTATTCGTTATTTTAAGCTTCATTTCAAGTTATTCTTAATACCTAATCATTCCTTATTTGTCACAATTACAGTCCAAGAGGGAACTACTTAACATAAGCTGTAAATTATTAATTGTTTAGGCTATTTTTATTTGTTCATTTATAGTACACAACTGGTCCCAAAGCTTTCCAGAAAGACACATTTAAAAATAACCCACTGGGCAACCCCCCATTTTTATCTTTTTTTTGCTAAACTTGAGTACTGCTATAAGTATAGCAAAAACATGTAAAGGGCAATGTCAACAACATGCTAACATCTTGGTTCCAAGAAATAACAAAGAAACTCTCAGCAGTTTAATGAAACATTAAGTTTAACAAAATAAATAATAAAGACATAAGTTCAAAACACCAAGGAGCAAGAGGATCCTGATACAATCCCCAAAAGCCAAAATGATGCCTTAGTTCATCCTTCGGATCAATTCATTGATACAATCTTCCTTCAACATAGTGGTTTCTCTTCTTCTTGAGACCACACAATGGAGCCTTGAGTTGGAATGGCCACAAGAAATTGTTGGCCTCCCTGAAATGTGGTCCGACCGGCGACCGTGATAATCTCATGAACCAAATCTTCAATGCAGATTATGTTGTACTTGCCAAGAGCCTGTTCAATTACGGAGTTGTCAGTGAAGGGGATTCTCTGTTTGTTAACCTTTCCGAATCCTCTCTTTTAAATCAACTCCCTGACGCTCTTCAAGGTTGGGTACCCAAAAGTGACATATGGCTCAACCTTGTGCAACATTGAATATCTGCCTCAAACGGAGAAGCTGCAGAATCTGTTTAGTGTTGGGGTGCATGGCATTAATACCACGGATACGAATGATGAATAGCAGTTTAGCTTCAGGGTTCACATAGAAGCCTTGCTTCACGCTTCATCTGAATCAGCTCCTTTTGCTGCTTCTCGTATTCCTCGGCATACAGTTGCCCTTTTGAAGAATTCCTTCCTGTTTGCAGCATTATATTCTTCTTTCGGGTAGCTTGAATTTCTTCTTTCATGATAAACCTCCACTCCTCTTCCCTTTTCTGCTTCTCCAATACCGACTCAGGGACGCATACTGCACTTTGCGCGTCAGCCATCTCAACCGTCTGGCTGAGAGATGAGCGGCAGTGAGATTGTAGATCGAATTTAAAAGAAAGCTGCATTTTTTTATCATAGAGATTTCTTCACCAAATTTGGATTCCAATGTCAGTATAAGATGTTTGATCGTGTAAGGTTTTTCTTCGAAATTCACTTTTTTTTTTTTGTTATTTTTCATTCTATCTCTATTTAGAGTTGTTAGTGTTCTGACCGTATGGATTTCTTAACCAAATTTGGAGACCAATTGTGAATATGAGCCGTTTGATAGTGTAAGCTTAGGGTTTTGGTTCCTATTTTATTTCCATTTCATATGAGACTTATTTCTATTTCTGTTTTATTTTCTTCAATTGTCACCTTAATTTTTCTTTTCAGTCCAACCAACACATATCATTTAACATGTTTCTTTGTTATTAAACATTTTCTAATGTGTATCTAATCTTTCTTTTAATTTAAAAACATTTTTTTACATGTACAGTTTATTTAGGTTTTAATTTGTACGGAGTATTAAGAAGAGTCAAAAGTGTTTAGGCAAGATAGCAAAATTTGAGGTAAACCTTGATACTTTTTATTCTACATTTTGCAATTAAGGTTTACCTGATGCAAAATTCTTGAAGTAAACCTTGACACTTTTTCAACACTGTATATGTAAACCTTAATACTATTACCTTGATACAAAAGTGTTAAGGTAATTGATCTGAATATATAATTTATAATAGCGGTCAAGTTCAACATTTTATCATGCATTGGATTTAGTTAAGCTTAATTTGCAAATACAGACATAAAAAGTAGATGAATACATTTGCAAATCATCATCACCCTACTACCCTAGTGCCACAAAGGCTCCCACCTATGGCGGGAATAGATTTGCAAATACAGACATAAAAAGTAAATGAAAAGATTTGCAAATAGATTTGCAGGACTTGGCTAACAGAGAAAGCAATGTCACTTAAACAAACTGAAGTGTAAGGTAAATGTTTTCCCATTGCTTTGTTTGTACTTTGTAGCTAATTGTTTATTGATTTCCAAAGGATTAAGCTTCAGTAGGGGTAATATAGTATCTTTTTTAAGACTTGCTACTATATCCTAAATCCTAATCAAATTTAATGTGTCTTGCGTATTCCTATAAATTCTATAGATTGTGTATTAAGTTATAGACCACCCGTACTCCAGGTAAAACCCTCTCACCTTGCTTGGGGTGTTATGATTAAATGATTCATATTGTTTTCAAGTATATTCTGCCATTCATTTGGAATGAATGGAAGATTAACGGAACTATATGAAAATTGCATTATGGTTGTTCGGCTAAAATGTGATTGAGAGCTTAATATGATAAGTATTTCAGCTAAATAAATCTTAGAATCAGCTAAATAAACAAACTAATTTATTTCTGAACTTAAACTTTGTTTTCCTCAAATATCTTTTTTTTATTCTAAAACTTGCACTTCAACATCTAAATTTGATTTTAAGATGTTGAGACGCCAACTAGGAAACATAATAGTAAAGATCCTAATCAACTTCCAATAGGAGACAAATAATAGAAATCCTAATTAACTCCTAATAGGGGACAAATATTAGAAATCATAGTTAACTCAAAATAGGAAACAAATCCGGAAAATTAAAAAGAATAAATGTTAATTAAGCAGCCTGCAACCAGCCCACGAAGGTGGGCTCAAGCCCATCCTTGCCTTCGGTAAACCCACGGGGGCTTCTGCCCCCCTTCTTCCAAGCCTAGATTATGCTTCATATCACATCATCACTTTGATCTTATTCTATGTTTATCATTTGTAGGTATGGGGAGACTGTTTTTGCAAGTGGTTCAAAGAAATAACCCATTGACAAAGAACTTATGCTACTATGTGGGATACTTTTTTTGGGAATTTTTAACTCTAAAATATTGTGAATTATATTTCCCTCTTGTGAAATAACCCATTGACAAACAACTTATGCTACTATGCTAGTATGAATTATATTTCGTTGAAATAACCCATTGACAAACAACTTATGCTACTACGCTAGTATGAATTATATTTCCCTCTTGTGAGTATTTTGATGCACAATGCTATTACTTATGTACTATTGTTATTACTATTATAGTTTTCTACGTACCACTAATGTTATTACTATAATAGTTTTCTTTTACAATTAAATCTACTTGAGACGTGAGCTTTTGTAGTATTTTTTACACTTCATGATTCAGTTCAAAATATTCAAACTATGGGAGTTAACAAAACTTAAAAATCTTATTAGCTGTCTTTAAATATTGGGAATCCTTAGAATTTAGTCGATTACACTTGACGTTTTTGTTTCTTGTAGTTTTGCTCATTTCCCAAGTCTGATCACTTTGATGTATCACTCTTTTACATCCAATGAAAATGTTATTTTGACTAATTCGTGTTTGTGTTGGAAAACAAGCACATATGGAGAGTGTGAGGATCCATCATCCATCTTCGCTAATGATTTTTTCATTCCATCTTCGCTAATGATTTTTTCTTTCAACTAATTAAGGCAAAGATTAAGTGTAGTGTTATGATTTTAAAAACATGTAGTTTGTTGTTGTTCTATGGCCTATGGGGCTTAGATACAAATCCAATGATCTTAAATTTATTGTGAAGTACTTCGTAATACATAAGATTTCATGGCATCAAACATACGTCTAAATAGGCAACCATTGCCTTATTTGCCTATGAACCTAAATCAGTATATTACCTTTCGGGCATTTCATTTGATTGATTGTGAACACATCTTTGACATTGAATAAGATCCTTAGTATTCTTCACACATCAATAAAATGCTACAAATGTGTATTATATTCTTATCAGCATGCAGTTTATAGTGAAAAGTGGGGTCTTTTCTCAGATGACGGGAAAATGCAACATCCAGTGCCAAAACACGGGACTTTTGTTAGGGTTTCTGGGATTACGGGAGTTGGAAATGGCACTTCCAAATAGAATTAGCTAGGGTTATCTTGGGTTGAGCTAATTTGGAAATGGCAATTCCAAATGAGGTGAGAGATTGCTTTTAATCGTATTCGGATTCTCCAATTCCATTTGTTTTTAGTTTTTTAGTGTTATTTAATTTTGTAGACACGTAGTGCCATTTCCTAGAAAATATACTACGTATTAAATTGATTCAATGAAATTGTTTTTAAATATGTAATTATTTTATTTTTTTGAAAGCAACTAAAAACAAATAAATGCACTAAAAATTTAATTTATTAGTGGCGAAAATAAGTGCATATGCAATAATAAGTTCAATACAACTATGTCTACTAATTCCTAGGATGTCCATGGCGAGGCACATTGATGTGGCCCTGGGTCCCACAATGACGAGGGTGTCGCTGTCGTCGTTCTCTTTGTTCAACATCTGGTTGTGTACTTGAGGCTCCTATGTCCCCCCATAACTATTCCAAGCCACCGGTGTGTGCTCACAAGTAGGATGGTGCTCAAATGACGGTTGTGCATGATAAAATGATGAATCTAGGAATGTGGAAATGTGTGCATCCGCATGTGTAGAGTAGTCATCATAAGAACCATAAAGTACTCATCCCCATCGTCACCTTCATCTGCATCACCCTCTTCGTCATGTTCTTTATTTTCATGTTCGTCGCCCTGTATTCCCACATTCCCTTCTTCATCATCGTTTTCATGTTCATCTTCATCGTCATCTTCATCTCTGTTACCATGTTCATGTGAAGCCACATAATCGCGTCCATTATTAAGACCACGAGCCGATGCATCTCTCCGACGATATTGCCTTAGAGGAGGGGGGGACCAGGGTCATCGTATGCATCCGCATAATGGAAGATACCTGTGCGGAGCACCTCTTCTTCCAGGTTTAAAGATGTGGCACATTGCGCTACAATGTCTTTAATGTCCTCATTACTGGCTCCGTTATTAGCGAGTTGATATACATTATGAAGGTTAGTAATTACTGGCTCATTAATATTACTCTAAACTAAACTAATTTATGCAATATTTAGAGTAATATTAAGGTTAGTAATTTCATGAATTTACCAATGGCAGTTTCATGACATATTTCGTGACTATCCTCCGTTTCTTTTTAATCACAACATGTTGAATTTTACACGATTCACATGCTCTACTTTG